ACAACAAACATTTTGTACGTCACTATGGGACCCTTATCGAGTAAGACAGAGTGACGATCATCGCTCTTTAAAAGGCGACAGTCGTCGTGCCACGTCCTGTTCAATATGGGACTCATAGTGACGTATACAACGCTTGTAAAATACATTGTTTATTTACATTAAATTCGAACACCCGCTGCGCAACGACCACTGCGCTTTAACTATTAACTGCACCACTTTAATTTAATGCATGAATTCATAAAAATCAGTTTCTAGGTGTTCCACGTTTAAACAAATTTACTTGTACTGTACAATATAAACTGTGTCAAATTAACTTTGCTCTAAAGATGCTGTAAGATAAAACTTGCATTTTATGTTGCATAAATACATATATACATTCGTAAAATAAACTAAATTCACACAGAAATAAATAACAAAAAAAATGGAAATTTATTTTCAAGCCTAACCAAAATGTGACTGCAATCAATTCATTTCAATTTGTTGAAATCCTGTACTCAAAGATAAACTTTATATTTGAAATATTTTGTTCAGGGGAGTTCTGATTTAGAATGCACTCCAATAAGCTCAACCAATCAAATACATTTCTTGTAATAGTATGCAAATTAGAAAGGTATAATAATAAATTTTACCATATACTGTAAAATACTTTATTTTTTACTTCAAATTCATATTCGGTGAAAATAAAATACAAATAAAATTCAACGAATATACCTTTTCCCTACATTTTACAATCAACTCATCAAAAATCAGCAAAATAAAACATACCATACACCCACAATTTGTTTTCAATGAAAATTAATTCCAGCTAAAATAAAGTATTTTACAGATTGAAAATAAGAGTGTCATGAAATGAAATGACATCATAGCTGTAATTCATATGATATGCCATTGGAATGACTTTTATCTAAATGCAACAAAACTAACTTTGACTAAAACAAACTAAACATAGCATTTATTTTTATCCCCTGAACAAAAATAATTCCTCTTCAGCATAATTCTGCTAATGCATTGATAATAGTTTATAACACAAACAAAAAACTAACAGCAACTTTAAAGTTTCAAATAATGTTACAATTGTAAGTAAAAGATTTTGTCCCACACCCCACACAAATAAACACACTATAATACAGAAATACATCTCTATACACACATTATGAACCAAAAACTGAAGAATTACAGGCAACTGCAACAATATTTTGACACAAGGACATTCAAAGCTTGTATGCGATATTGACCTTTCAACAAGAGAGATTAAATTCAAATACTCCAAGACAAGTTACAACATGCAACAAAATCCAAGAAAATGTTATTTGTATTTTTTGACAAATTTGAAAACAAGTTTATATCTCTCTTAGAATCTCGTACCCCTAACAACCGATTGTAGGTATGTTATTAAAACAGCTATCCTTTAATTGTAATGGCATATACATTTTGTTCGGTTTTACAGAAATGTTATTAATCAATAACTGTGATGAAATTTACTGACTTGTTTGTTATTTATTTTTGTCTCCACCTAGAAAATATAATACATCCTGGGAATGCATTTTTAAAAGAAAACAAAACAAAATGAAGGAAAGTGAGGATTTAATATTCTGACCTGAAACAAAGATAAGTGTTATTCGGGGGGGGGGGGGGGGGGATTGTTCTATATTGCTCAGAAGTGCACCACTGTACCATGTATTTCTGTGAGTTCTGTACATGCTTCTGTAGAATACTGGTGAGAAAGCTGGTGAAAACAGCACAAACTCAACCTTGAATTATTCTGAACAATCTTTTTACACTGTTCAGGAGAGTTTCAACAACGAGCCCAAAGTACACTTTTCCCCAAGAGTTTTCGGCCCGATTTTCACTGGTGACGGTGAAAATGCGATGAAAATGTCTAATACTGTGGATACT